GTGACTTTATTTTTATTCCGCAAGGCCAGTGTCGTTCAGATACTCCAAAGTGAGTGAGTGAGTTAAAATTTAACGTCGCATCGGCATTATTCCAGCCATATAGCAACGAGATCAAGTTAATATTTACTCCAAAGTGATATTGCTGGAACATTAATAAAGGCAGCTCAAAACCTGGTGTCCCCTGCCGTCATATTGCTGTAATAATGCTAAAAGCGGAGTAAAACAATACTCACTCACTCAAAATACTTTACACATCCACATGCTCCAATGTTGAATTCAACGTTCAAAATGTGAAGGTAACCATCACGATCGTATACCATAGAAAGTATATGTGGTCTTGACATATGACAACGCCCATTTCAACGTTCCAAATTTGAAAAATATCCCTGACGACCTTATGCTATATCTCATCTCAACATGCAGTATGGATATCATACTTCAGAGAAAATATATAGCATCATGGCATGGGAGATTAATCTCATATGTTAAAGTATCTTTCCATACCATATTCGACATTTGTGTACCTTACTATATTTGTCAGACTCGTAATATTTATATCAATGTTTATGTAGACCAAATAAAAATATGCACAGAAAAGGCTGCACGTTTGTTACATTATAAATCATTTTCTGCTTTGATCCATACAGTGTACATGTGTATTCGTGAATCTTAAAACATTATCCTTTGGGCCACTGTCTGTCATCTTAATAAAGGAGTTACTGCTTAGTAAGATGATACAAAGAACGTGATTCGTCATATATGTACCGACTGTAAAACATAAACCAACCCCCTAATCCCATGCTCCTTCTGAAAACGTGATCCTATCAATGTACGCAGTCTATAATTGAAACAGCTTGACGGTATGTTAGACGGAAGTATCCCCACGTACACAAACATCCCATCCTGTCGTTCATTGTCATCTAAATGTAATGATTATGATACATCATGTGCAAAGGTGGTTGTTCGTGAGATAAGTATTTTGTTTTCAGGGATATCAGATATGGTTTATTTTAATAAGTACTGTACACTGTGAATCTAGGAGTATTTATGATCAACATATTCATTTTTTCTTAAAAAACATATTATAAACATGGTATCAATTGCAACGCTTTGTATAGATCGTGTGACCAGCTTTGTACAATTCACTTCCTGGTTGCTACCCTTACTGCGCCAGAAACGTATTAAAACGTCTCCGAGGTTTTGATGGTACAGGTGAGTATATGTTTGGTCAAACGTTTTTAACATGTATATGATTTTATAATTTGAAAGAGAGTGTTTGACTGCTTTTAGTATTTTTCTAAGTAGATTTCGTATGATTATGGAAACGATATTTGTCGCTTATATTTGCGTAGACACGTGTCCTTCATCCGCGTGATACATGAATAAATCCAGTCAATACAATGTACATTGTACATGTGTTTGTGGCTGCTTGTAATCGCTCGGACGTATGCCGGTTCTATGGTGCTAACCCTTTCTGTCACATTATACGCTGAGTCTACCAGTCCTTGCTTTATCATCCTAATGCCGAACGCCAGGCAGGGAAACAATATGTACAATTGTTTAACAATTCACTGCCACGTTTACCTTGTGAGAGTTACAGTTTTGAAGTGAGACCTGCTGAGAGATTTTACATTTGAATTGTAACACCTAGGTTTTACAGTTCCATTGTATAAACAGCCTTTAAATATGAATATAATGTTGATTTTTGACTGGTGAAAATTTGATGACGTGAATCGAACATGCAACCTCACATATAATGTTTGCATGCTGCACGTGATCTTTCTCTCGCCTGCTGTGATCGAATTAGTTTTATACCGCGACGATGCTATTGTTTCACTGTACGTTATCCCGATGTCCTTGTGGGCTATAGTTATTCCCGCGGCTGTGGTTCTCCCAAAGTATGGGGCAGGATACGCACTTCCTTTCGCGAACACCTGGTATCATCACTATTTGATAGTGATTCATAAACACTTGCTCATGATATAGTCAGAATCGTACAATCGACTCTCCTTTTCGTAGATATTTCTCTTGAATATGGAAAGTGTTTTGTCGCTTTTATTCACATTTTCAACCAACACCTCGGAGTCCTACCCTTTACGTAACGTATTTTGATATGGTGCAAGCAGAGGATCGAACCATCGAACTGATTTGACAGTGACTTTAATTTTTACGCAGTCGGGCAATTTTCTTGTACTTATAGATGTTTCTCATGTATTTGTGGTCATTTCCGGCACCTTAATAATTCTACATATCTGGTTGTACATCTTTTGTGCGGTACCATTGTATAGTTTATGTTCAACGCTTATTTTGGTATCTGCATCTTCCGTATTGATCTAGTAGTTAGTTTGTTATTCGGGTTGTCCCTATGTTAGGAAACACCATTTGGTTTCCTCATCGGAATATTGCATTTCCTTGGCCGACCATGACAGTTTGTCCTCTATGACATCCCCGCACTTGTAAAAACCCTTGACGAATTTATGTGTCGTTTACGGGTCGCCTTGCCACTGGTTTGGTCAGGTCGAAACTTTGATTTCGTTGGTAATTGGTTATGAGGCGGTTTTCTCTCTGGTACTGAATTACTCTCGTGGTAATGAACTATAGCTTATTAGCTAGGCTTTTATACACTGAACCGCAAAAGAAACCTCACCATGGATAGATATATGAGAAACCCCATTACCAGATATATGTGTCCAAACACTGTAAACATACTTTGAGACATATCAAGAAGAGAAAGGTTGTCAAAACTGATCATCAAGGTTGAAATTAAAGTGTCAAATGTTCTTAAAGTGAAACAAAACACTAGTCTCTGAGAAAATGGCTTCACAAGTCAGTATCTCGTGTGTCCGCCATGTCCATTGATGTCTGCCGTGCAACGTCGATACATGGAATGGATGAGGCGGTTGATGAAGGCCATAGACTTCAGTTGTCGGCCTTGGTCGGACGTCATTCAGCCGTCTTTGAATCTCGTCCCACTGGTGCTCAATGGGATTTAAATTGGGACTGAAGGCAGGCCACTACGTTGTTCTGATGCCATTCTGGAAGTCTCTTGCCTTGTCTGCTCGTCAATCGTCGACGCACGGTGTCCGCACTAATGTGTCGCTGGTGTCTCCCCACGGTCTGTCGAGCAGTTTCCACAGCAGTAACAAAGCGACCTTGAAGATGGTGTCGCACAATCTGACGACCCTGACGTCGGATGGTGACGCTTGGTCTGTAGTGTGGGTGGTCTGGTACCGTTGCTTCGGCCTGTATATGGTCCTTGCGTGGACTTGAAATGCATTGGCTACTTGCCTGGCGGTTTGTCCAGCTTACAATCGTCCAAGGGCTTGGTGTCGCTGATGTCTTGTCAATCTTGGCATGTGGTAGCAATTCAATAACGAATGAATGTTATCCGATCTGGGGGAACGCAAATGCATTTCAATTTGCACAGAACTCACGTGCATCGGGTTACCATGGCCGTTGCCGTAATGCGTTTGGGCGATCTGTTTTATTGTCATCTGCTTTGTTTTTTATCATCAAATTTCATTTTTTCGGACAAGGTAATGCTAAATTTTAGAAACTTTGACCAATATAAACCAGATGTTTGACAATTTCCTATGCAATGTTACCTGGGGTGACGTTTCTTTTGCGGTTCAGTATATTTCTTACCCCGTTTTTCTAGTTATTCGTGGATAATCTACTTTCCCGTGATTGTTTAGTTTAGATCAAGTACATGTTACTCTTTTGGTCAAGTACTATTTTTAATGATCGCGGGTTTAGAGGCTACGTAAGTCAAGAACCTTGTATTTGGGGAAGTTTAGTATTTCCTTGGCCAGTCTAAGTGACTGAGACTTTAGTCTCCAGGACTTGTTTCGTCGATTTTATTGTCCATGAGGTCTATTTTAGGAATATGTCCTCTGTGTTTATTTTCCGCTAATTAACCCACTCGATGTTATTCACTCATTAGAGTGTTGAGTTATTTAACTCTCAGGTGTTAATTGTTCGCAACCGACTTTCTTTGCATCTTGTCAATATCCTGCCAAAGGGTTGATTTAGCTACTCTACTTTTTATTACTGTTATACAGTTGCTTAGCTGATCAGCTTGAATATTTGCTCTGATTTATTAAATCGGTGATCATTGTCAGTGTAAATAGAGTTTTTAATCTTTTATATTGATACAATTAGCTGAAAATAATAAACATGTGAACCTATTACCACGTTTTCATGATTAGCTTATTTTTGTTTAATGACATTCTGGTCTCTGGAGCACTGCTCCGTGACAAACAGAACCATCAAAATATCGCACTCTTTGGGAATTTGAGTGTAAGTCAACACGTTCTATGTATTTGCCGGCGTGGCATGGTAACGCACCAATGTGACGTCACTTTTCAATAAGTAAAGTAGCCGTCCAAACAAACCAACTGTACTTCACTCAACACATGTAAAAGAGAAATACATTTCGTTGAACTTGGTGTTTTGAATACATGATCACTGTCAAGTATAAGCATGTAAATTCTGATTCATTGAGACTTCGTGTATATATGTAAAATTATTACGTTACAAATGTTAAAGTCGTAATTTAAAAGAGCGCATGGTGATCAACTATATTTATATATCACGAGTGGGTGCGTAGGTTTTACATTGTGCCGTTTTAAACTGAAATGCAGTATAACACTACGTGTCAGCTTGGTGTGAGCGGAAAGCTTGAAGTGATGGGGGCTTGATTTACCACTTTGGTGAAACCACAATACAGGTATGGCGTTGATAAACCAAGAAACGTAATCAGGGCGATTCAAACCCACGACCACAGGTTTCTGGCACGACTAAGGGACACAACTCTATTTCCTTCTTATATTACGAACATTGTGATATACTATTTGATTTAGAATGATATTGTATTATAAAAATATTGGTCCTCGTGTCCAGGCATCTATCATCACTCGTCGAGAAAAAGTAAATGTTTAAAGCTCCTCAATTATAAGATATATTATTCGCATAATTTTTTTGTCTTTTTATTTAGGAATCCAACATGGGTTTGTTCTGGATGAGACTGCTTGTGGTCTGTGTCTCTGTGACTCTCACTGGTAGGGGCGTTATTTATAGAATGTGAAAAAAAGTGTAACTATTTGATTTATTTGTTGGTTTTATTCGCAAACAGGTAGCTGTCCTCAAATGTTATCGATGTTTTCACTGTAATATAAGTGTATGTCTGAAGTACTGATGAACACTATCAATTAACTGTTTGATTGGCATTTTTAGAAGTTGGTAAGTAACAGTAGAGACAAGATACCTTGATGGATGTTTTCACTATCACTACCAATTAAGCTGAAGTACCTTTTTTCAAACAGATGCTGAGTGTCACTGTAACACCACTACTGCCTGCACCGTGTTCCCCTCCACTCCCTGTAGCCAGATCGGCAGTCCAGACAGATGTCTGGAGGGATGGTTCGGTTCATACTGTCAGAAACGTTAGTAATATCATGATAGTAATATCACGAATACAAGTCATCGACCTATTATGTATTTATATTTTCAGAAAATATTGCGTTGGGAAGATCTTGTAACCAGAGTAATAAATTGAACGATGATGCAGAAGGATGACGACGACATAGAAGAAATTTTATAAATGTTTACTTGATAATACTTTATCCGTTAATGAACGGTGTAATATGCAGTACGCTTTACGTTGTTCAATGCATTGAACTTACGTGCGATTTAGTAGCTTTTCGTTCTAAAAAAGGAACTGATAGAACAGAAATTTCTCTTATCTTTCTCAGGGCTATGTTTGGTCATAACAGGCCCACGAACATGGGCATGTAATGTTTAGGTGCACGAGTTGGTCCATTATGAATTGTAAACTTGCCCAGGAACATGTTTAACCCGAGTCGCCAAAGAGCGAGGTACACGTGTTAAAGGCATAGGGAACATACGTCACGTGCATCATGCAGGGCCGACTCACGCAGTGTTCTCACAGTTGTGTTAGAATACTTGATTTTCTTTGAAAATTCGGTTATGAACACAAAGTTGTTTCCATTTGAGGTGCAAGGGATCTTTGAATGTTGGCCAAACTTTAAGTAGGTCAGTTCACTCGGACCATGGTGTCCAATCGTGAAATGTTCTCGGATCTAACTAACCATTTCAACGATTAGACACCAGGACCTTGTCAACTAACCTATACATGGTGACTGACACATATCTACACTTATCATATAATGGCTGTTCACTCAAGCATTTTATTCATGCTCGGTTTCTTAATTTACTTTGGTGAGTGAAATTCAATTTAAACAGTGACCATTATAAGATGACATCATATGATAAAGATGTCATTAACGTCGCCTAATTCCGTATTGTAAATATCATAGGTAAGGAACAAAAGAACATGAATTATGCTCTCAAGTTGGTCAAATTATGTAACTTTTATTCCTGATATATACTCTGCAAAACGAAGACACGCGAAAGTGATTTTAGATGAATATTTTATACATCATATAAATAATCAACAGATATTAATCGATTGTTCAAAATTGGCACACATCATTGTCATTGACACGGTCCCATATGGCGCACATGGAAAAGTATATTTTCAAGGTTAAGGTCATCTCTTCTCAATATCTTGTATGGCCACCACGAGAGTCCACAACTAACTGTCATCGTCGTCCCTTGGAAGCAATCAGATCCCAAATTGTGGCTTGGGGAATGTTCACCCACCCAGTGCTTGTACCAACTGTCGGAGGTTCTGTGGTTGTTGTGCTGACGTGCTCGCAGTCGTTGATTCGTCGCATCACATACATTTTCGATTGGTTTTGAATCTGGAGACCTGGAAGGCAGTGGCAGGACCTTGATGTTGTCGTTTCTGAAAAAAAGGTTTTGTCAGTCTATTTGTGGGAGGTCGGGCGTTGTCTTGTTGGAAAATGACGTTCGCTTGTTGCATAATGGGAAGGACGTGTGGCCGGAGAATCTCATACGTGTAACGTTGTGCCTTTAAATTCCCAAGAACTTGCACCAAGTCTGTTCTACCAGTGTAGGAGATAACTGCCCACATCATCACACTGCCGCCACCAAATCTGCCCACTTCCAGTATGTAGTTTCGTGCATAAGGTTCCCCGCGACGCCTGTAAACACGACGTCTACCATCCGCACGGCGAAGCAGAAATCGTGACTTATCACGAAACCAAACTTGTCTCCATCGCAGTTGTGGCCATACTCTGTGACCTTGACACCATTGACGTCGCAGCCAACGATGCAGGTCAGTCAAACTGACACCTCGAACTGGTCGCCTAGGGCGAATACCTTCAGCGCTTAAACGGGTTCCTCGCTGTCGGGGATGATGCGCAATCCTGGTATTGCCGTAGTTGTAGAGGTGACCGTGGTAGTTATTTCATGTACATGACGTAGCCGTATAAATCTGCCCTGTGCTCTTGTAGCGATACGTGGTCGACCGGATCTGGGAAGGCCACGTGTTGTCCGGTGTGCCTGATAACGATTCCACGGGGGTTGGTGCCACGTGGCAAGCATGGCTACAGCTGAAGATGACTGTCCTCTTTGCAATCGGCCGATGGCGTTGTGCTACTGTCAGTCGTGGCATGTTTTCTCCGTTCGCTTGCTGTAAGATTGTGATGGCATGCAAATGAAAATCCAACGTTTTTTATAGCCTAACAAGTGATGTTGCACGTGCATGTCATGTTGGTGTGTTTCGGCGCCAGGCCCTTACGTGGTTGTGTTTTTTTGCTATTCTTCCATCGTTTCGCCAAATTTCTCATTCTTTCCACACAAATCAATCCTTATTCATGCAGAAATGACCAATCTATTGTTGGTATTAATTGTGTATGGAATGTCGGCAACATTTACGAATTTAGAACTTTTGCGGGTTTTTTTGCAGAGTATATATGATATCTCAATGTAAGCATGGTGTATTCCGTTTTTCCTTTCTTTAAAGAAAATATTGCTTTGGGAAGATCTTGTAACCAGAGCAGTACACACCTCAACTTAAGAGGCAGTGCAGAAAGAGCTGTAGATGGCCAGACCACCACAAACTTCAAACGCATGCCAAGTACATGTACTCATACAGGTAACAACGATCAAAATCCCTCTTGGAATGTGAAGCTGAACACCTCTGTCACAGAAAAGATACAACATATCAGACTCTATTTACGTGATGACCCTATCCGTGAGTATATATATATGTATACACTCAAGACAATTCCCGTTCTCATATTTAAAAGCTGTTACAGGACAAAAAAAATTCCCCCGTGATTACAAAGACCATAGTCACTGACGATTACATGATTTTATTTAAATACAAACAAAAAACTTAATCACTGTAAATTTAGCATTTGGTCTTCCTCTGTGGTCATTGATATGATTGCCCAAACAGACAGAGCAATCGGTGAAAGTTTCTAAACTACTTGTATTTACACTCGTTTCATACCTTTTTCACCCTAACACTGACTCATGACACATGCATTTCTAGAATTAAATGACACGGGAATATTTCTATGAACCAATTGCAACCAGCTGTATTACAGCCATTATTTGAGCACCTTTTAAACTGATGTCGTTCCGTCAGCTGGCAAACGACGAGAAGGGACTTGCTCCGTATATAACGCCAAGTTTTGCCACATATTTCAAACACTCTGTACAGTTCAGAACAGAAGCGACGGCATGAAGATACTCGTAGACAATCAGATGTGCTACAACTGGTCATCAGCTGAACATCCTCCTCCTATAGCTAACGTCACCTGCCGTCAGCCACTGTCAGGGAACACCGTCACTATACGATTGCCAGGTGGCCCCGACGTATTCCTTACTTTGTGTGAGGTGCAAATATTTGGTAAGTATTGGCATATATTGATACTGTTATTTTGGAAATGTTTTAGACCTAGATTTCTCTACGAAATCCGGGGATTCCTTACTTTCGTTGAGTTGCAGATACGTGGTATGTTTTGGAAACATCATTCTGTTGCCGGATGTTTTCGCGAACACGTGGTATCATCACCATTTAATGGTGATTCATAAACACATGCTTATGATAACAGGATAACGGGAAAAGGTTTAAAAAATCATGATCCACCAACTCTAAAATCACAAATGTGTTGAAACATGGTAGTCGATGCAATCATAATATAGTCCACTACACTACACGTATTGTGTGTGAGGCAAGTGCAATCACTACGTTTATCGCAAAAAAGCCTGCCATTCATAAGGTGAATACTACAGGTCCTACGTAATTCAGATAATTCCTTCCCATATTTATTTTAATTTACATCTTTACTTGATCTTAGAGAGTCAAATGTATCGCCAGGATAATCATGAATAGTATCCTGTATAAACTCAATATTGCCATTGGGGATATAATCAATGACATCTTTAAAATCTAGACATATCCTTCTAATATCCGCTTTCAATTTGATACCCTTCAGAGAAATCATGAACTCTTGCCGTTTTTTCACAAAGGATTCACAAAAGGCAGTAATGTAATAGTTCTTACATATATCCTAAACTAACTGTCACTGTGGTGATGTTTATTTTTTAATGTTCCATGAAAAATATTAAACGAGAATCGGCCTGCAATTCACACACCATTGTTTCTCCCTCGATTGGGGGTGACCTCCCGCTGATCTACTCTATTTCCGGGTTCAAACGAAGGACGCGTTGGCCCCACCCAATCTGTTGAACAGTTGATAAACTGTACATTGAGAACAAACTCCAGAATTTGTCTGTGTCACCCCCATACAGAGTTCCCAGCACCAGGTCTGACACCACATCTAACTCTGGACCATAGGGAGACGACGGTGATCTTGAGGACTTGTACAATGTAGATGTACATCATGTTGTGCATGTAGATGAGGAAGAGAACTCTATTACTGAGGATTATACTTCTCTTTATAACAATACCCTATTTGTGTCTACCAAGAACAGCCCTACTGCTGATAAGGTAGCTAATGTTAATACTGTAAACAGCATTGATATTAGTAACACTGTCTATTATTAAACATTGAATGTTGTATATAAAAATAGCATAACATATGAGGTAATAAACAATATGGAAACGTTTACGGATCATTATTCTCCCAACACTGTATATAAACTTAAGTTTATTAGCCTCAATGTGTGTGAATATCCCGAATTTACCTCCCTAATCTATAAAGCTGATATAATTGGTTTGCAAGAAACAAAAACAGATTCACTTGATGAGCTTGACATTGAAGGTTATATTCGATACTTACATCATAGAACCAGTTTTTAAAGGAAGTCTGGTGGCATTGGTTTAGCAGTCAGATATAAAAACTCTGACCATATTTCTCTTGTTGATTTACTATTGTCAGTATGTTGAATGGTTCTGAATATCCAAGTCATTATTTAACTTTGACAATAACCTGTATCTAGGGATACTGTATCTACCCCCAGAAAGTTCTAAATATGCTAAAGACGACGTGTCCTTGTAGAACAATCCATTTTGCACTTGCAATCAGAGAGTGATAATATTTTACTTATGGGTGATTTTAATGCAAGGACTAGAGCACTGAAAGATAACTGAACTGTAGATAAACACATCATTGAAGAACTTGATATAGAAGAAATATATTGAAGAAATGAAAGATATATATGAACCTGAAAATGTACTTATCTTTACCAACTACAAGAAGTAATCAAGATCAAGGAAGAGTCAATAGCTCAGGATTTAAGTGAGTGAGTGAGTATGGTTTTACGGCGCTTTTAGCAATATTCCAGCAATATCACGGCGGGGGACACCAGAAATGGGCTTCACACATTGTACCCATGTCGGGAATCGAACCCGGGTCTTCGGCGCGTCAGGACTTTAAGTTAGTAGAATTATGTAAGAATACAAATATGTTTATATGTAATGGCAGGCTATATCATTGTTTAATGAATTTGATATTGCTGAATCCATTATGAAAAGGATAAAGCAAATGCTATCCCAAAACTGACCCGTTTATTGAAATCAACAAAAGGTCATGACGACCAAGCACGTGCTATTAATGAATTTACTGAAGAGATCGCGCCTCTGCTCACTGATGCAGCACGTGCAACGTTTGGGGAAAGGCGTCCAGTTCGCCACGGCCCGATAAAATGTCAAAATAACAAACCCTGGTTTGGGACAGAATGTCGAAATAAACGTAAAACATTTTATAAATCAAAACACCGATACTCTAAATATAAATTAGAAAATAATAATCATTATTATCGAGAAAGTTCAAAAGAGTATAAGAAGTGCCTTAATAAACTCGGAAACACCCGATATCACTGATTTTTTAAACATTTTAAATTCTTAAACAAAGTAAGAGTGAGTGAGTGAGTGAGTGAGTATGGTTTTACGTCGCTTTTAGCAAGATTCCAGCAATATCACGGCGGGGGACACCAGAAATTGGCTTCTCACATTGTACCCGTGTCGGGAATCAAACCCGGGTCTTCGGCGTGACCAGCGAACGCTTTAACCACGGGCCTACGTATAGCTAACTTTAGCAGAACTTTAACTGTGTTTGTCCTCACAGAACTTAATGACGAACATGTTGATCATTTCATATTCATTTTCTGTTTCCTTTTGTGATGAGAGGTACTTGGAAACTACAGAAATAACAACGTAACTAACAGAATACTTTGTTACTGTAAATTCAGTTTCTATTCATTCAATATATCTTTATGATGACAGGTGGTTGTAAATTGCACAAATAGCAACAAAGGGTTAAATACTTTGTCGACCGGCCACAAAACGGTACTGTTTGCCACTCATGACACACCAAAAGGGTATTTTGTAAACGTGAACTTGTAAACGCTCGTACGCTCCGGAAGTTATGTTCACCAAAAAATCTCCCACTTAGTGCATGCAACCCAATTGCAGATAATTTTATGTGCGCTTCAACCCTTTCTGGTGATGCAATATGTATTATGGGCCAGTGACCTTTAGACTGAAATAAAACTGTCTGTCTGTATGTATATATGTCTACTTATGATACAGTCGGAATCAATCCTACAATAGACTCTGCTTGTAGCAAATGTTTCTTATGATTATTGAAAAGATTTTGACTCTTTGGAGGGACTAGGAAATGTACCCACAGCCACAATCTCACTATAATCATGGATGGATAAACAATCATGATCATTTGTTGTTTTGGGATCACAATTCAAGTGGTATATACAGTAAAGCTCACAGAATGTAAAACAAATCACAAACGAAAAAGTACAAACAATAGCATCCTCGCATATCTATTTAAAATAAATAAATCAAGTAATCAATTTATAGAAAGAAAAGTGAAAAGGATTTATGTAACTTACGTCATTTTCAGTGCATATTACACACAACACATATGATATAACATACCCTGAAAAATATCTAAAACTAAGCTTTAGCGATAATCAGTTTGTAGTGATGGATGGTTTGCTGAAGACTGTGACAAGCAGTGCCGGTGTCAAAACAACACTGATATATGCAGCAAGATGACTGGTCACTGTTCAAGTGGATGTTTCCCAGGATATATTGGTGACGACTGTCAAACAGGTGATTAGATATAATTACAGATTTATATGTATAACAGAGCTCATTCATAGTGTAGTAGCTTTTATGTACGTTCACCATGAATGTGTGAGTATTTCGATGAAAGAAAATGTGTTTCAACAATAAGGGAAGTGATGAAATGATCGAGGAGGTGTAAAGACGACAAATGCCTGTAAATGAATTCCGGGCGAGTTCAATATCTCGTGTGTCCATCATGTTGAGCGGTACATGGTCTTGGACAGGACCCAAAATGGACCCAAAATGTCAACATATTTGCTGGAAAGGTAAATGTCCATTCACAATAACAAAATCATTTCGTCTGTCATGTGTCATGGTTTCTGCCATTTGTGAATCGGAGGCAAAACTTTAACTTTAACACCATAAATGCATTGGCGCATAGCCCGTCCCATGTGTTGCTGAGTCCACCCCAATCTTTGCCGCTTGTGGTAAGCTGTCAGTGTCACACCATTCACTTGGCGCCTTGCTTTACAGCGGGCTGCATAGAGCCGGTTTATAACGGTAGATTTTTTTGACGGAATGCTTGACTGATACAAAGAGAAGATTTTAATATATTCCGCAGTGCAATTATGTTAATGAGATGATCTTGTCTAGGTGTCTTTTTTAGGCCTTCAAGTCCCAAACCTGTTTGACGGCACTTGTCCCACAGTCGAGAAATGTTTGATTTGCCAAACATTCGGCCAAATTGGGATATTGACGTTCCCCTTCTAATGTACCCACATTTCGCCATTTTGTCTGTTCATTGAGATGCTGTCTCGTGGGTATTCTAAGCGTGTGCTTAGCTCAATGATATTAATGATTGTGAGTTCTCCTTTAGGCGCACACGCTTTGGCTTATGTGCATCACGTGCTGTACATGCATGATGTGGATTTTCATTTCGATTAGATGTTGCGATCAGATGCAGTGACACGGTATTGATAATGTATACCTCAACGATAGCTACAATCAAATCATTTTTTTGACGGTAGTGTTATTGGCAGCACTGCTGCAGTACTATATTCCATCCGTGTTACAGCGCATCGTATTCATGCAATCAAGTAACGGTCTGGACAATGTGTGGTATGTTCCCGTCAAATGATATGTCTATTTAATACTGTTTACTTTTTTAAATGAACTACAGTAAACTACGGTTATAACGAACTCAAAGGGACTACTATTTTTAGTTCGTTATAACCGTAGTTCGTTATAAGCATATATACAGTGCGCATAACTACAGCAAATAGTCAGGACTAAAAAGTAAGTTCGTTATATCCGTCAGTTCGTTATAAGCGTGTTCGTTATAACCGTAGTTTACTGTAATTTAACAGTGGTTGTGAAACCCGTTAATATGTTTTACAAATCGGGTTCACATTTATATGAACAATACCATTTGATAAAGCACCGCTGATTGTGTGATAAATATTTCTCGTAAAGTATGCCCAGATGGTTCTTATGGTATCAACTGCTCCTCCCAGTGTGGAAACTGTCTAGATGGCGACAGCTGTAACAAAACGACAGGAATATGTCCTGGAGGATGTGCTGCAGGATGGATTAATAACGACACATGTAAGCAAGGTGAGTATACTTTCCAGCTACTATAAATTCCTTGTATTTCAGAACTGTTTCTTAAATTATAGTTTGTAGTTTCGGAGACAACGTTTGGGATCAATACACAAAGATAGCTTAGGAATTGGTTATCATACATTTTAAAGAAAAAAGTTAATTTTGGGTAGTATCTTCTATCTTGCAAGGATTGAGATTTAGTTTCATTATAAAGATTCTTATGACTTGTGCCACGAACTGCACCACATATAGTTCTCAGGGCATCAAGATGTAAGCTTTCTAATATACGCGATTGCTCAGACGTACAGTTATCCCAAATATGCGAACAATAGTCAAATATTGGCAAGATATAGGACTTATATATTATTTCCCTTACTTTTTGTTATACCACTGACGTATTGATGTCAATTTGGCATCTATTCTCACTGCAATATGTTGTATCCTTTTGTCTTTTTTGCTGGCCATAACCAATTCATTTTGGCTTTATTACAATTAATTGATGCCAGAAATACCACACTTCTTGACTGATATAAATTGAATTCAAATGTCTGGATTTCTGACTGATGAATACCAGCTATTTTAAGAACACATCTACAAGGAGAAGGGCTACACTTTTACCTTGTTAACTAATGTCCTCTGTTTTATATACACGAGTAACTAAACCGTCAACAATAATTATTGAAGAGTAAATATCACGTTTTGGACGTAATGGCAAATCGCTTAAAGTTATAGTAGTTCATCGTAATGCAAATGTATGAATTGATAAAGGTCTCAATGTATGGCTTTTGTCCAGAGAGTAGAGCAGCCAGTCACGAAATATTTATTAAACATTTTATTTTTTTGTTTTTGTGATAATTGAATCAAATTGCTCAGCCGAGAGGATGGTTACGTAAAAGTGTAGGTGGAACCATAAGGGCATTTTTGGTGAATTAATGCGACTTAAAAAAGTCAAGCATGACGTTGAAGTCATCATAATATTTCAACGTTTAAGATGTAACGTTGATTCAACGTTTCGTGACATCTTGGAGAATGTGATTTAGATATAATTTATACCTACTAGGGTAGTAAAACAGTAAAAATATTATAGCTTTAATTTATGAAACTAGAAGCTGACTTGAAGACTTGAACGCGTAATGTAATATTATAGTTTATCGCAGTTAATTCACACCTATATCGGTGATTACAAAAACATATCTCTATCTCTGTAAATGAAAACATATAATTATTTTATTCAAGGTAAGATACTGATGGAATATATATGGCTACGTATATCTACGTGTATTAGATGTATATGATAGACAATCTTATACTGTCGCCCTCCATGTAAGCGGCAATGAACCTTCCTAATAAGTAATGATGGGGGGTAATACATAGATCTGGGAGGCTACAGTTTCCCAGTTGTTTCTCAGCTTTATGTGCACAGTCCACTTTTTGTGGTCAAGTGGTGGTACCATTACCCTGGACCTACAGCTTAACATGTAACAAGCTTACTGCATGGTGTTTTCATATTTGGCTTCGAAAATTTCGGGGTATGCAATGGTGCATTGTAGGCGTCCAGATAAAGGATACACTATTTGTTTACAAATTTATAAGATTCAGTTACTTTAGAAAGAAATTACTTGTAGTCTAAACATTTAGCTTTTGAACACGTTCAGTTGTTTAAACCAACCCAAAACATGTTTAGACCTGAATGCATATGTTTGTGTTAAAGATCTAAACACAGTTTACAGTGTATGAAAGCTAGTTAGTCCAAGGCATCTGACATACCTACTCAGCAATTAACGCATGTGTCTGCACAGCATGTCCAGATGGTTCCTATGGTAACAGCTGTTCCTCCCTGTGTGGAAACTGTCTTGATGGTGTCAGCTGCAACAAGACAAATGGAACATGTCCTACGGGATGTGCATCGGGATGGCAAAAGGACGACACATGTCTACAAGGTGAGTCAGAACCATGTCAAACGAAGGCTAGTTTTTGCTACGGGGCAGAAGTTTTATGTGCGTGTGTGTTTGCAAAGTATTTTAAATCGTGTGGTTATCGATACTGACATGGTTAAATGTAAATGTCTTTATTTGTTCAGCATGTCCAGATGGTTCCTATGGGGACAACTTTTTAACGGATCCCACCAAATCATTACATACACAGTGTTCGGTCAGATACCAAAGACACAACCAATTAGAAAGCTACAATTGATGTTGTCTTGCTTTCCATTCATTTCATTTTCTGAATGTAATGGGGATATTCAGCAGAATGTAGAGTATATAATATACGCTGGATAATACTGGGATAAAAGTCTAAACATTTAGCTTTTGAACACGTTCAGTTGTTAAAACCAACCCAAAACATGTTTAGACCTGAACGCATATGTTTGTGTTAAGGATCTAAACACAGTTTACAGTGTATGAAAGCTAGTTAGTCCAAGGCATCTGACATACCTACTCAGCAATTAACGTATGTGTCTGCGCAGCATGTCCAGATGGTTCCTATGGTAACAGCTGTTCCTCCCTGTGTGGAAACTGTCTTGATGGTGTCAGCTGCAACAAGACAAATGGAACATGTCCTACGGGATGTGCATCGGGATGGCAAAAGGACGACACATGTCTACAAGGTGAGTCAGAATCATGTCAAACGAAGGCTAGTTTTTGCTACGGGGCAGACGTTTTATGTGCGTGTGTGTTTGCAAAGTATTTTAAATCGTGTGGTTATCGATACTGACATGGTTAAATGTAAATGTCTTTATTTGTTCAGCATGTCCAGATGGTTCCTATGGGGACAACTGTTCCTCCCAATGTGGAAACTGCCTAGACGGTGTCATCTGTGACAAGACAGACGGAACATGTCCAACGGGATGTGCAGCAGGATGGTGGAATGTAACGTGCTCGTCATGTATGTATTATATCAAATGAATTCTGATATTAGATGCGAGACAGAAATTGTCTGCATGTGTATTTGGGATTATTTCTCAGCTCTGTGGGCAAAATCCATATTGACAGGTTGAAGGTAAACAGTACTGTCTTTGCAGCATGTACAAAAGGCTACCATGGCAGCAACTGTGCCTTCCAGTGTGGATACTGCCGATATGGTGACAGCTGTGACAAGGCAAACGGAACCTGTCCTAGGGGATGTGCAGCAGGGTGGATGAATGACGAAACAATTTTATGTCTCCAACGTGAGTAATGATGACAGTCCAAAACAGTTGCGATACATTAATATCTTTATTTTTGAGCTCAAAGTCATTAAGAATTTTTGAAACCTTGTATCAGATAATTTTAATTTCCTATCGGAAATATGGAATGGGGAACCATCTCCCTTCAAATGTGAAATCAACTCCAACAGCCAAGTCTATTTGTCTTGCATCTGTGGCCTAGTACCATCAGAGTTCTGTACTGGATATAAATATTTTTTTACCATTTTTAAACCAAATACATTTGTTTGATGCAGATAAAGATAAAGAAAAAGACTACAATATATATATATATATCAATGTCAATCTTATTTCATTGGATTATTACATATTGTAGTCTTTTTCTCAATGATCCAATGAAATAAGATTGACATTGACAATTTTGTTCACACCATACGTAGCCATAACCAACGAAATATAGTAAGTACGTTACATCTGTTACCCAATTTCGTTTTCCATATTCATCAAAGAGTACCATCATATTTTTTTGAGAACCTTTTATATGGCATACTCAAAAATCTTAACCAATATTTAATAACCTTTATATATGAGTATATATACATTGTAAATCAGCCACAATCACCACATACCATAACATTAGATGTATTAACCTGAACACTAAGAAATGTCCCCAAATCTGTGCTCCATATGGTAGTATCTGTAACTAAGTTATTTTGGAGCACGACTTCCAAGTAATGTTTCCAAAAGTATAAATTTGTTTTAACACACAGACCAAGTAAGATGAGTTGTAAAATATACACGCAAAAACTGATGATGTTTCCTTTTTAGCAAATTTACCATCATTCTTAAACACGACCTTCGTTTTATCTTTATTTACAGTTAATTTCTATTCATCACAATATTATTTTAATTAATTAATTTGTCTCTGCGGGAGTTTAACCCGCAGCAGAACCATAACTGTGCCACCTTTTGACGTTTTGTCCTTTTTCATCTGGATGTAATTATCATTATTTAATTTGAACATACCACAAAGACATACAATGTGTTAAGTAAGGATAAGTTATATGGATGAACTTCTTTATTATAAAGACGCAAACGTCCATACGGAAATCTCGGCGGCTGAAATAAATCTTTCATTCACGTATGGGCCTTCACCGTTTTTGCTTGTGTAAAAAAGTTTACAATGGTCAGATAGGCAGGAAAATAAGGGTTCTCATGACATCTAGAAAGCTATGATAAAGCCCATGTTGTGCAATGTGATGTGTAATCAATATATATGCTATGCTTAATCAAGTATCAATTTATGTACGTATTGTTTGTAACTTGACATTTCAGTACCTGTATGATTATATTTTAGATGATAAAAAAATATTGCAATAAATTAAAACTGATTACATTTTGTTCTTGAAAGCTCTTCCTGTTCGAGGTTCTATAGGAGGAATTGTTGGAGGGACAGTTGCAGCTATTGTAGTCATCGCTGCTATTGTGGCCATTGTCATTTGCGGAAAATGGTAACTGCTCAACATCATTAATAGATTTTATACATGGAGTTGTAAGAACAAGATTTCATTATGATTTTGTGAATTCTGCAAAACAACATGGTCATTATTCTTGGTCATATTTGCTTACTGCTGTACTAAGGTTTAATGACAATATTCTTTCATAGGAGAAAACGAAAAGATGATGACTCTAGTTTGCCGGTTCCCCTAGAAGTGGTTCCCAAGGCAGCAAGTAGAGGTAATTATGCATCATGTAATATTTAACATGCAACGTTACGTAAATTTAGTCAACCAACGTGTGCTAGTAGATCGTTCCATTCGTCTTTTCGGGGAAAAGATATTGTGATCAAATTAGATAAACCACACATCCCTTTTAGATAAGCCAACAGCGAATAAATCCACCCCAAAGCCGCCCGCAGTGGAAGAAGACGAGGACGCCATGTTTTCTGTTGAGGCTGAAGTAGACGGCGACAACGAGGCTGCCGCCACCTACTACAACTGGGTACCACCTCACATGCGGCTGGACAACCTGAAACAGTGTATAAGTGAGAAGAAGAAAAAAGCCTCATTTGAAACCGAATTTCAGGTTTGTTTATGAAAAACATGTATTATAAGCATAACTTATTCACGTCATATGCTAGTTGACATGCACCTTATAGATTAATTGTTTACCTTGTGTGAAAGTATATGTTTGTGTGATATTTCGTTTATGAGACTTATTTAAGAGCCAATGTTTGAATGTGATTCTTCAAATTCAATAGATTTTATTTGTCTATTCATGTTATATTTTTAACATCCCAGACCTATTTAAAAGGTTTAGTTGCAATGCACTGGTTGAAATATGCCTCCTGGTACAACTATTGACAACGGAAACACCCTGAAGTATGCCTGAATACCAACGTTTTTCGGTTGTCATAAATTGAATAGCGTCTATGAAGTAATACCTGTAATATGTCTTTGGGAAGAGATTTGGCATCAATACGATTCTATGGACCATCAGATTGCCAGCTCCATTTGGCTGCCATTATCTACTTAGTCAAGTGCTATGCACGCAAATGCAGGAAACACAGGAATGTGTTGTTTATAGCAAAGAACATAAATTACAATACACGTTTTCCTCGGAAATTAAAGAGTTATCATGCTTTGCAATAAAACCCTGTTCTGTTTGGATGTACATGTACATGTACCCCTGTAAAAATGTCCATTTGTGCCCCAGACGATCCCATATGGTGCAAGACATCCACATGAAGCCGGTACAAAACCCGTCAACAAGGCGAAGAACCGTTTTCTTGCTCTATATGCGTGTAAGTTAATCATGACCATATTGTGTTTGTTACTAAAGTCAGTGTGTCGCAGTAAACTCGACGCCAAAGTACGTGTTAACTTCCATATGTCAAGACTTGCCGATATCGCTTAATTAACATTACACTCGTTTTCCATCACCTCATCTGATCAAAGGCTTTTAACAACCCAATCAATTATATCGCAATATTTGTCAAGTAATCAGTAATAGAAATAACCTACGTTTCGAGTGTAAGATAGAGGGAATTCGAGATGTTTAGGTAATGCCAGCTTTAAATATGTCTACGTCTAACAAGGAGTCGAATTCGCTTATAGACCAGGGGTAATAAGGATTATGGAAATAATAGTGTATGTAACGTTTATAGATTCCTTCAACAAATTATCTCACTTTTGCACATTCCGTTTTTATCGTTCCATGGCGTGAAAATGTAATACGTTTGCCACTTAAAAGACTGCAAGTTTGTTCCAATTTTCTTGATGCCGAGTTCTAACTTCAATCAGATGATGCATCGAGGGTCGTGCTTGCGGATGGAGAAGATTACATTAATGCCAATTATATCATGGTGAGTGGGATAGAAATATTTAATATATTTCAACATAACGATGGAAATAATGAATATAAACATTCACTTATGTATCTCAAGTGTCCAATTTCAGTCTGATGTGCTTTCTATACATTAGGTGGTTACATATGGTACATAGTTGCATCGATATAATTAAAAGCTACAATCGTGAACTTGTGTCTAACTGTGACTGTATATTTTTTCACAGGGATATGATGATATTCCAATGTATATAGCTACACAAGGTACGCACCTTATGATTTTTTGTACAATTATTACTTTTTTAATATATGTTTTTATATTTGAATAGTTATACTTTTTTCTAAAACGATATATGATTATTATTAAATGAACGACATGAGAGGTTTCCTCGAGGAGCGATTTGTAATACAGAGTGTTTTGTTCCAAGGACCTAAACCAGTGTCAATTACTGACTTCTGGCGGATGGTGTGGCAGGAGGACGTCACACAGATAGTCATGCTGACCAGGCTTATGGAGATGAACAAGGTAGGATTTGTTGGAAATAGCACAATACATTCTACTACCTAACACATTATTAAAATTACATTAATTGTTTTACTACTTCCATTTTTATCTATTGACAGAAAAAGTGTGAACGGTACTGGCCCGATGGAAACAAATCTCAAATCTACGGAGCCTGTAAAGTGACAAACAAAAATGTGACAGCTAGGTCTAACTACACAGTCTCCACTTTTCTAGTACAAAACTCCGTAAGTATAAATAGTTATTTTCAGTTTAACCACCAGTATGGGTTTACAATGTACCAAGAGTATACACTTCAACTAGTTTGTATGAAAGGATAACATGTTACACTGATATAATTGTGATTGGTATTTACACAATTGGTGTTTACAGGGCAACGAGAGAACTGTGACTCATTACCACTTCACGTCTTGGCCTGACCACGGTGTTCCCTCTGCCCCTGCCCTCGTCAACTTCTGGAGACTGGTCAAACAGGGGGACATGGCCAGGGGTCCCATGGTGGTGCACTGCAGGTATGTTCTGGGTGCTCACTGGCACAGAGACTGGCCATGGGTTTGTTCTCTGCAGGTAACTTAGAAGTCGACACATGTACGATGTACATGTTATTCCTATGTGTCAGTGGTCACAAGCTACTATTTTAGAGGCATCGATAAGATTCTTACAACTAAAACTGGTGACAGTGGGTGTTTAGGGGTGGACGGATTTTGGTACATGTACATAATTAGCTGAACTTTCCGCGCATGCATGTCGCTAGCATTGACGTATGGGGTGATGATCCTATCATAGTGATTCAGCTGATGTGTTTACTGGAAATCCGCGGACGTACGGTGCAACATGTGGTTGCACATTGGATGAAGTGCATAGGTGGAAAGGTGAGGTGTAATGGGGTTTGAACGTCGCGTTCATTATTATCGCACTTACATAGCGACAAGCATGCACGTGTGCATGTGGGGAGGAGGGCTGATTGTTCTAGTCGGGACTAATGCCGATTTTATAGTGCTAGCCCACTGAGATACCATGCCGCAGTGTAACATGGGTACCCCACGCAGACCATTTTAATGCCGAGCGCCAGACAGGGTAACCACAAGTGCCATATCTTACCCCTGGCCTTCTGCTCTCCGGGCGGACGTAGTGCTCCTAGACCACGGATGCGATCAAGTGGAAAGGAGATTCGTGGCGAATACAACATGTAATAACTAAGTACATGATGTTATCATCCTGAATGTCTGAGAGCAGAAAGTGTCAATGAGTGATATTCATATGTTTAGTGCTGGTGTTGGCCGAACAGGGGCGTTCCTTGCCCTCGACTACCTGATGGATGAAGCTGAGAGTAACCACAGAGTCAATGTGTTCATGTGTGTCAGCAAGATGAGACAGAACAGGATGAACATGGTCCAGACAGTGGTGAGTACGTGAATCTGTAAAGTATTTTACTTCTTAACCCTAACGGTACATCGGTTTGGTCAGACTGCTTTAAAGTTATGAATGCTTTTAGTTTGGAGGGAGACTGTATTTGAGATTAAAGTTGATGTTGATGAAGAAGCATGCAGAGGATATCTTACTTAAAACAACACTACTCCTGAAGAGTGTGGGAGGTCTTTTGAAAGAGATGGCTTTAAAAGTTAGGTCTGATTCTGACAAAATGAGTTGATGAATATTGTGTTTGGTCAGTATTTAAACATCGCCTCATTCTCAAGCTGCAGTTCATAACGTAATAATACATATGTCCTATTCAGAGACAATACGAGTTTGTGCATGATGTGGTCCTGGAGGCTCTCAATTGTCGAGGAACACGCTACACGTCGTCTGAGTTTGACAAAACGTTTGGTGTTGGCGAAACGTTTACACCACCCCAAGAGGATATGCTGAAAGAACAGTTTAAAGTATGTAAATGTAAATATAGCTGTCGTACCTTTTCCGTTGAAGCCATTGTCTTTGATGGGTTTGTTTATTCATATTTGTTATGAAACATAGTTGTGTGATACAATCAGTATGATTTATGATAACCCCAACACACCAGTACCACTCCCAAAAATATTTTCTTCAGTTACTCCAAGAAGAAACATCTGACCTCGAAGACTCAGACGCACTGCTTCCAGAGAACTCGGGCAAAAATAGAAACCAGCATATTCTCCCGGGTATAACTGTCTTGACAAATTTGTGTTCTAACATGACTCCAAAGTCCTAAACTACATTTAATCTCATTTAAACTGACCCAATGCGCTTGTAATTATAAAGAGAGGGAGAGAGAGAGAGAGAGAAAGGGAGAGAGAAAGGGAGAGAGAGAGAGAGAGAGAGTAGTTTCTGCTTTTCGCCTGCTCGTAATGGCCCCACACTAACTACTATAATAACCGCGCTACTTGTGTCTCGTATCGGTCACATATATAAATTATACACTCTTCCAAAAAGGAACTGTTTGACTAGCTGTTGAAGCACCACATGATGTATTCTTGTAGGAAACAAATCCAGGCCCTACCTGTTTACTCCAGTTCAGGGTCGGAATGACTACATCAATGCAGTGCTTTTGCCAGTAAGTTGGTTTGCAATTGTTACATGAAAGATTAATCAATGCGATCACAACTAAATGCCACATTCAGTTAAATCTGATCAGTGTAAGCCTTCTGTTGTTATGTGAAGACGAGCCATCAAGATTTATAGAACTAAAAGATACATAAATAATACCAAACTTTAAAATGGCATCAATATTTAGTTATGGCAAAAGGGAGTGTCGGTATATTATTGGTTTGCGTCCTATGTTTTAGTCCATCCTTCGGCCATCGACCATGATAGTTACCCAGACCCCTCTGCCAGACACTGTAGTGGACTTCTGGAGACTGGTGTACGACCATGACTGCTTCACAGTTGTCTGTCTGGATGACTCCAAGGTAAATATCATAGGTGGCGCTTTGTGACGTTTCTACATTCGGATATCAGAGTTGCTGATCGTCTCCGTCTGTCATAGTCAATATCCCTACAAGTATCATGAGAAACGATGCTACAATATATTATCTCTTAATAATATTTATAAGATACTATATGCATAATGTATTTACATTGTGTATGTAAATTTACTCCGCATTTTATTAATACAGGAGGCTGATGAAATGTACCTTAAAGACAACAAGACGTTACAAATTGGACCATTCAGTGTAAAACACGTGGAAACTCATTCAAATGGAGCGTTCAATACAGAGACGACAATGTTGACGCTTGTGCATGCCAAGGAGGTTTGCTCTTTCACTGTGTTATTTTCAAGCAATCAGTTCAGTTCCATGTAATGACACAGTGCATATTGCTTATGCTGGAACGTCACACATGTCGGAACTCCCGTGACAAGATATGTTAACATGTTAATAAGTAATTGGAAAGTGATTGAGAACTAGATACTGAGTATATTAGCATAAAGAGGTGTATATTCGATATTTGCTTTTCATGTAAAAAACACACGTAATTTATCTGTGATTTTGTCGTTGTTCAGGACAGCGAGCAGTCAGTCACAGTGTTCCGCTTCCAGGCACCGGACATGATGTCCAATACTGCATCACTCCTGGAGCTAATCAACGTGGTGGACAGAATCATCAGCTCCGGGGACCATAAGATCCTCATCCACTGCCAGTATACACATCTTTGATATATTATCCCTTTGTAAATTACGATGACAAATATATTATATACATTGTGGACTATACCAGACCCCCATCGTTAATACCTCATTGGTATCGTATACAGTGTACATTACGTTCCTCCATCACCTGTGACTACAAAGATATCTATGCAGTGTGGTCGTGATGCGTGTTCGTCAAGAAATTACATAAGGCTGTGTTTTAATTACGGTAGTCAAATGAACCAAGATCCTTTGCCTAATTAGTAAATAAAAGCGACAAAACCCTTTCCATAGCCACAAGTAAGTTGTGCTGAAAGCACTCGATTGTACGATTCCGACCATATCATGATCATGAGTTTATGAATCAGTATCAAATAGTGATGGTATCAGGTGACCAGGTATAAAGACTGCAGATCGACGATAATTCTTAAGGAAAATATAATATAATTGAATTAAAAGTGCTTAATGGGAATGATAGCCCAAAGATGCAATGGCTGCTTGGTGTACTGTGATACACAAGGTGCATGTGTTTCTGTGACCCAGTGACGGTGCTGGCGTGAGCGGCGTGTTCTGCAGTGCCCTGAACATCATCAGCAGGCTGAGGTTGGACAGTGACGTGGATATCTTCCTCGCCATCAGGGAACTGCAGCGTATCAGACCTCAGTTTATTCGGTCCTTCGTGAGTACAATAACTGTTTCATTTAGACGTAAAAACAGGATAAGTTTCGGGTTGGCATTTAACATTGTGAGGTCCAAACTACCTACAACTATATATCGGAAATATGACAAATGTTCTCCACAAGCAATACATTATTCAAGTCAGACAACCGTACATGTATTTTTGATCAATGTAACAGTTATATGAACGTCATGATTCTCACCAGATGTTCCCAGAACTGTGGTATTTCGGAACTAATCATTACCAAATTCCATCTGCAATTACACATAAGGAAAACTTGGAAATGACGACACCGTGCCGCAACGCCATTATCAACAACAATGTTTTCTGCTGGGCTTATATTTGTAATATCTAGCGATGGCACGTCATACGTATACAACACTAACATGCCGTTATTTGCAGGACCAGTTCAAGCTGTGCTATGAAGTGGTGAAGGAATATAACCGTGCTTCCGGTGTCTACGCCAATCTGTGATAACGAAACAACAACCAAATATTCCAGACTTATATTCTACACAGATAGTGTTGGAATGATCAATACTTCTTGTATAAATTTGAGAAACGCTTATGTTCCTTTTGTCTTCACAAGGCAAATGTTCGCACCCATTATCCAGAAACTAAATTCTTACATCAGTTACTGATATGTAACCAATTGTATGTTTAAAGCTTGTTAACACATCGTCATGAGAATATATCAACTGACTTGGAGACTGTCGGAATGTCAAATTTATAGCAAAGTGCCTTTGAGGATCGAACGACATCGACAATAATTATGTCATTCATTTACTGATAAATTAATCAATTAATGTGGGTCACACATGTTGGTGATGCAACTGTCATTTCCATTTCCACATAATCTGGATTGCTTGTGTCAATTTCCATATCATATTATTTAACATAGTTTACCTGCAAAGCCTGCAAATGTTTATGATACAACTATACTTGCAGTGGTATATGAATTGCTTAGTGTGTTGTTATAGTGACATTGTCTACGGTATTTCCAATAAAAGATTGAAGATGACATATCATAAATTACCTTGGTTGCTGAGACTGTAATACTGGTATATTTAAAATCAGTTCGTCTATGTCATTTCAAACATTCTTTCTGTGTTAAATAATCCATACCATTTCAGATTCCTTGTCAATCGTACACACAATCTGAACATCAATATAAGCATTTGCAACCTGTAAGACCAGTGACATGCCGGGTCTTACGAATGTAACAGATTCATAGAACCTTTGCCTCGCTGCATTTCTCAATGTCCTATTTGTGTGTGTGTTCCGTGTAGTTTACTTTATTGAGGTTCTTTCGTTTTCCTCTTTTTGGCAATGTCATCATTGTGTAAAAAATCATTTGAAATTTACTCAAATGTTTTAAATAATTTATAAAAAAATTGTTGTTAACCATGCGTTCACATGTTTGGTCTGTTTTTCAATCCCTGCATTTGAAGTTTGTTTCTTGTTACCTTTGGAGCTTCTTATAAATTCAGTGTCAATGTATGTTTTATATAAGCCTTACATCTCAATGTTGATAGCTTCTTATAAAAGTATACACACAATTGAGTTTCTCTTGTTTCAAATATACATGGCGCAAATCCGAGGGCATTTATCCAAGGGCAATTAGATGGAGCCTATAATGCTATGTATTTTGTATAGTAAGACATGGGTGTCCACATGTGTGGTTATGAGGTATATAACTGTGAGTGTTGGATACAATGGACACAATGGCAAATATATCATTGCATCTCAGGTATTTGGTTGTTGTTTAACGACACACACGACACATTTACGCAGCCTTCTTAAGATATAAGGAAAAGAATATATGGATGACTACTTCTTTATAATGAGGAACACAACGTTTCGGAGCATATGCTTATATTACTCATTAATCAGGTCTATGAATGCCATGAGGCAGAAAGCATATATATGTACACGTAAGGACAACAAAATTAATAAGATAACAAAAGGTGGAAAATAACAAAGGGTACAGATGACTGGCGCTGAAAGGTGATTAGCAAGAGACAATGAAAGTCAACACTTTACAGTAATTAGTGCTGAAGCTATAGAAGCCAGTAATTAAGTTATCATAGATAAGTAATAGGTAATTGACACTGGGCAAACGGGAGGCCGGGGGTAATTAGCACTAATAGGTGAAAGAATGGATATAACAAGGGGGCAAATTGAAGCCAGCTAGGTAATTAGCACCGACAACAATTAAAGCATTTATTCCCAAGCACTAGGCAGATAGGTTCTTTGGTCACGGTTCATGGCTGGCTGGGCGGTCGGGTAGCCTAGTGGTTAAAGCGTTCGCTTGTCACGCCGAAGACCCGGGTTCGATTACCGACATGGGTACAATTTGTGAAGCCCATTTCTGGTGTCACCCGCCGTAATATTGCTGGAATATTGCTAAAAGCGGCGTAAAACCATACTCACTCACTCATGGCTGGCTGGTGTCTCCTGATGTCAATGGCTTTTTATAGACTAAGTATTCTTTGTCGGCAGTTGTTGTTGGTAGACAGGACAACAGATATGATCGTCAAATGTCGCTTCTGTATGCAGAACACACACTTTGTCACTGACGGCTGTAAACAACCGAAACAAGATTTATTGACCCGGGAACTTCATATTAGCGTGTTATACAGTACTGTTTTTTTATGTCGGGTCAATAATGGTCTCACAATCGGCATGTGAATATTTCCTATTTGAGACAACAAAATGACATAGATATTTCTTTCACTGCAGAAGAGCTCTGCTACAAGAAATCAAACAACGCGCCGTTGCCATGTGTACAAATGTTTAAAGTAGTTGCTTATTGTGTCAATATAAAAGAAAACTTTTATCAAGATGACATCAGAACATAAATATCGCAGTATACGAAATCTATTCATAATGTTAAACAAACAGTCTGGGAGCATGTACGTGCCTCTCTCTGTGTTTTCGTAATCCACTCTCATGCCTCAAACACAACGTATAAACAACAAATCGAATTCTCGAAATCCTTGCAGCTCATCGAACACTGCAAACAAGATTGGTAAACAACGGTAGAACACGTTCGTACAATATCTAACTTAAATGGATACGCGTATGTATTTCACACATATTGGAATTTAAATAGACCCTTATTAAAGTGTTTTTATAACTAATAACATATCTTTATAATACTCTAAACATGGACATGACGACGTTTTATCAATTACACAACTTCAGAGATATCAGTGTGGCATCTTCAGTACTGGGGGCGTAGGGATAGCCTAGTAGTTACAGCGTTCGCTCGTCACGCTGAAGGCCCGTGTTCGATTTTATCCACATGTGTGAAGCCCATTTCTGGTGTCCCCCGCCGTAATTTTGCTGGAATATTGGTAAAAGCAGCGAAAACCGTACTTTTTCACTCTTTTGTACCGTAATTTTCTATGTCAAATAAAACGTATCTTAACTTTCTGTTTCATTAACACACAGGAACAATCCAGATATATGACGCTAAATAATTGTGTCAGGATCAGAAATATTACGAGCAACGACCCATTTCGTTGCGATTACGATAACAAGTATTCGATCCTGAGTACCTGATCCATTAAGCACCTCATATAAGCATAGCAATTCCACCCACCCGGGACGTCACTCCAGGGACATTTTTTTATTATTGTTTAGTGAATATGATGCCTGTACCATGTTTGTATATTTGCAAAGATATGTTTGAGGGAAGAAAAGTCGGAGAATTAAAAACATGTAAATGCTTAATATATATACATTACATTTGTTGCTTTACGCCGCACTCAGCAAAGGTCCAGCTACAGGTCTCGGTCTGTAAATGACCGAGTTTAAACGAGACAACCCTGTGATTGACATCATGAGAATATGGCTACGAAATAAGGATATGATAAGAACGTCAGCGAGCTTAACAATCCGATTCAGTTAGTCGCCTCTTCCGAAAGACATGGGTTGTTGGAGAATAATTTTATACCAGATCTTCACGGCGTTTGAAAATGTATACTCAACAGAAATGTAATAGTATGGTTTAAACAGCAGATCAACGATGCTATTTGATTCGTGTCAAGTAGGTTTCACGTCTCTTATTGGTTTAATGCCAATGCTGTACCTCTTATTGTAATGTACCGCCTTTTCTTATAAGTATAGCTGATGTTTTCGACATAACAAACGTAACAGTATCTATTCAGGAGGATCGACCTTGTTTATTCATGTGAAATCCTTGTAATAAAAAATAATCATTTATCTTACCCTTGATGACAGAGGTCTATATCTGGCTTTCTTTCCATAATTAAGCTGACGCGCCGTGATTTAAGTGGAATACTGTTCAAAGGGGCGTTAAATCCAACTCACTCACTCAGATTTACTTGAGAACACTCTTGTCAGATACTGTCGTGTTAAACAAATACCACTCATTCATTTCTACCATTAGCCTTAAGTAGTATCAAATAGGCAAAAACATGTCAAGTCAAAAGCATAAGAAGACATACTCGGTGTAATACAATCAACCCATAGAGAAATCCATTTTCCATAAGCTCAAAGTGTTCCAACTTGACAGAATATAGTAAATTTCTATTGTGACTGCGCGTTCTGTAATGGTGTCTACACGTGAGTGTTGACATATTTGAGATGAGAAATGCAAAACTCTGTTTTCATAATAGTGCGACCATATACATCAGTCAGACTACACTTCTTAATGAGCGGTAATCAATGCTTCGTTAACGTGTTGCCAAGACATCAAGTGGATTCATCGAATTTCAACGGTCTTTGGCAACTGCTTGGCGATGTAAGATGATGTGAGTAAAATATTTACCAATATTTGTGTGAAAAGAGACATTTCTGTATTCGTCGTTTTACATCAGAAGCAAGTTTAACATGGCGGCCATGAGGATGATATTTGATTTTGTCCCGATTAACACACTCCCTACCAATTACATGACGGTTACGAAAGTGGACAGTTTACTTGACTGTACACATGAATGCGTTCGTCAATCAACGTGTGGGGCAATAGCGTTCAACACAATTTACCTGGCGTGTTATTTATACCAGGGAAGCATTCAGGCGGATCCTCTTCCTACGACTGGTATGGATCTTTTGGTATATAACTTACAGGAAGGCACAGGATGTGGTGGAGCTATCGGACCCTTACTCGGCCCTGGTGAGTTCACAGTAATACATTGCTGGTAATACATTAGTACATTGCTGGGGCATAGGACATTCAAGTGGTCTTTCTTATAAATATAAAATCAACTTTATCAATATATAAATAAAGGTATTCTTTTTGTAAATGTAAATGAATCTGCGTGACCAATGGACATCCTAAACAAACCATAGTGTGGAAACCTCAAGAGGGTAACCTCAGTAAACGGTACAGCAATAGTCAAACGATGTAATATGACTGATGCTTGTTAATAGTTGAACACTGTCAGGCAGACCAGGATATATAGGACCGTCGCGGCACAGCCACATTACCCAGGTGTACACACTGTAATGAATTAAGAACGACAAATCCAAGCCCTTTCCTCAATCCTAAGTAATCAAACAACCAGCATGGGGTTCACATGGAACCTTTTTTGACCCGGGATTACCACGTTGGGATGTTGTCAGAGAAATGTAACGCATGTTGTTACCTTTGTAAATTCCAACAAACTGTTTACAACATTCATTTTGTCCTAAGTAATAACGATTTGGGCACAGAGCAAATATTTTGGGCCCTTGAAATCGTTGGAGCAAAATCACAGTATAAACGTTTGGTGAACTAGTATTTTTATGATGCATAATTCAAGTTGGTAAACAACGTTAGCTTCTTTGATACCTTATTAGAGAGTTTTCACCACGCATAACTCTTTTTTCCACGTCTAGGGTATCCGAAATGTCCGACTGTCAGTGGCTACAGCTATGAACCAGCTCTCAACGTATGTTACAAGCGCCTCTCCTCAAACAATCTAGCAGGCAAGGCTACTTGTATCCAGGAAGGAGGTTCTGATCTTCTGAAGATTGACACTCAGGAAAAGCAGGACTTCTTCGAGCCTCTGGTACCAGCGACCGAATATAGTAATGATGATATATTCGATTTTAATTTTTGTCAGTAATCTATTTGTACATATTGACTATCGTAGCAAATTATTTCTTGGTGAAAATATAGAAATTGTTCGTTTGCGAAATTTACAGCAGGTTATTACAGTAAATATTAAACGTTTGGTTCTGATAATGCGGTAAACGGAAACCGATTGTTTCATTCTAGTTACAGAAATGTGAACGTAATAGTATTTAGTGTTCATTATTAATAATAGTATCACAGACAGATAAATCTTTTTTCACAAATTGTGTCAGATAATATGTATTGGGGTCGTTTATTATGTGATATTTTTCAGAATTAGGTACATATGTTTCAGTAATTAATAATTATCGTTTGTCAAATGCGGAAGATATGACACCTTAGTGAGTGAGGAACACGTTTTGAACAGTATTTCATTTCTCTATTGACATGAAGCTTGTCGAGGGACGAAACCAAAAATCGCATTTTATCAGGGCGAATCAAAGCCACGATTAAAGGACTCTGACATGTCGAAAAGACGCAAAATGATCCTAGCGAACCTAGCAGTAGACATTACTTGGCCATCTACGTACACTTATATCATTACATCCTGGCATATGTTCCAAGAATTATTGTTCACAATATGTCAGTGGTCTGCGAAAGTGTTTCTATCATGTTTATTTAATAATTAAAAGGCGTGCTATTGGTATTGGTAATAGAAGTGGAA